ATATTTCTCTAGTTACTTAAGAACTGTAACTAATCTTAACTTGGATTCTCATAGTTAAACTAAGAATCTTATATTACTAGTAATCAGATAATACTAAATCAAGATACTAATAACAGTATTGATAGAGGACCTTGCTTCTACTAAAAGTATTTAAATTCTGTAAGAAATATAATATAGATATTTCTCTAATAATTTGCCTGAAGTATAATAGCAAGATCTTCTACTTTAATTTTAATAACAGCTGGACGCTATCACGTGAAGTATTAATAAGTGTATTATTAATTCTAGAAGAGAATAATAATTTAAAGTAGTAAATTAGGTTATATATTATCTAAGACCTAAATAAATCATATGGTAAGAACTTGCTATTCACTACTTTGATCTTATAGTATGAGATATAAAAAGACAATGGGGCTTACAGGATCTCTGAGAATAGTATTTATAGAAGAGATATAAAGATATGCTTTCTATCCAAGTCCAATTATAGTTCTTCTGCTAATAGAGTTACTAGCTAAGATAATTAAACAACTCGGTAGTCAACATTGATATATAAAGACATAAAGTCATGATATGTCAGTTACTGGGTCCCGGTAATTACTTTTATAGTATTCTTGATAAAGGCCGCCTGAAAGTAATTTATTATATCTTGTTTAAATTATATATATATAAACTGCTATAGCTGTTCACTTGCTAGTATTGCTCAAATTATAATGATATATCATCAGAAAATATATTATATTGTTACTTTCTTAACTAGTATTTAATCAAACATCTCTATTCTTATATAGTAAAGGTATAGTGAAAAGCAACTAGTCAGACTTTCAAGGTTTAAATGATCCTGGTTGAAGAATAACTAGTCTTATAATCCGCAGCTTATACACAAAGTCATATTTATCTAAATATATTGCCTCACTCCTATACTGTATAAAGTTGTTTTAGCTTGCGCGCCTCTACTCTACATGGTTGCTTTCTATATAAGTCTGCCTACTTCCTCATGGATTGGTGCTTGAGTTCTGAGTAGTAAAAGTCAATAATTAAGATCTGCTTGAGCTCAGTATTCTAGAGGATATTATCTTACTGAAGGTTATTATGTAAGATGTCTAGAGAATAGATCTCTTTCTTAGATCTTGTAATTTTATATATAAATATCTGATTATATCCTATAGGCTTACTCCTCTAGACTATGATAAGTATATAGCAGATCTCACCGGCTCTATGTAAGTAATAAGATTTGGCTAAATTAATTACTTCTAGGAAAACAGGAACAGCAGATTTCTGTACTTGATTAAGTATATAGTATATATTTTTCTCATGTCTGACCTCATTCCATAGTCCGGAAATTATTTCTTTACCGACTATGGTATATCTATATATAGTATAAGTAATCTTGAATAATGCTTCTGATGCGCTATAATTTTCTTATTAGTATATAATCTCAGTCTATATTTTTATTTAGCTGCCTTTTGAGTTGTCTAATTAATATGGTAGTATTAATAAGATGTTTACTGCTATATTCTTCTTGTCAATAATATATAATATTTAGGTATTTTTTATCTAGCTGACTACCTTGTTACAGATTAAGTAGATATTTTTAGATATAAAATTTTGTAGTATACTGCTGATCTTTTCTACTGCTTTGAGTATATTAAGATCCTGGATTGTTTACTGATTATCTAATAGAGAAAGATAAAGAAGATAAAGTAATTTAACTAAAACCATATTTTCTTTTTTTAGGAGCTTTATCTGTGTCAGAGTCAAATTTATTATATAGTATGAAGTTCAGTGAGGCACAGCTAGTTTAAGATTAAGTAGATATTTAATATGTATTAGAAGGTGATGGAGCAGGAGATAAAGATAGTATATATTTTAATATAGTAGGTTTGGAGCTTGTATACTCTGATGCTGTATATTCTGAATTAGATGGGTTTTATTATAACTCTGACTCTGGAATCTGGAAATGAGTATGATTGAAACTTGTCTTCTATTCTGGCAGTTTTTTTGTGGTATTCTGCTATTTCTGGTTATAATATTGTAAGCAGAAATTTATAAGATATAAATATAAGACCTGAGCAACAGCTGTTAGCAGCTGTTGTAGAGAACTTAATTTATTATCTAGATTAATTTCCATATTGGGTTCACAGAGAAAGTAGTATAAGATACCAGGATTATCATAGGTAATCCACAGTAAAACTAATATATATCCATTAGTCAGATATAAATATTCTAGCCTTTTCTGGAGTATAATATGGTATTTCTGGATTATAGCTGAGCTGGTTAGCCAGGCTGTATTATATCTTAGTTTCTCAGGATCTTTTGTAGGGATAGAATCTGGTCTAATTATCTTATTCTAGAATTATATTGGCTGTAAACCCGCTTGAAGATTTTCTATAGATAACTTATGGGATAGCTTGTACTTAACAGTTATAATAACTGTATTTTTATTATTTTTAATATGGTGGATGTAATATTGGTCCAGTCAAGAGTTTATTAGATTATTTGGTTTAGACTAGTCTGTTTTAATTATATCAAGAGCATTGGCGTGATTATTAAACTGGATTTTATTATTTAAGTTGAATTTCTCTTAAGCAGCATGTATCTTGTAAAGTTCTGTGATAATATTATGAATATGGTTTTTTACTCTGAATCTTTTATAACTTTGCAAATCCTGCTTATTACTTATAGGTTTTTTCTTAAACTCTTCCTTAAATTCCTTCAGGATAGTATATGATGGGAATACTTGAGCAGCAGACTGTCTGTATAGAGCTAAAAATGTGTAGACAGAGTAATATATTTCTTGCTGTAAGGCTCTGTACTTGGTCTAAGGCAGAAGCTGCAGCGGACAGTGTTTTTTTTTAGATACTGGAATCTTTCTGGTTGTAGAATAAGACGGACTTTTGACTTTTAAATATAGGGAAGTATAATTATGGCAGTATAGAATAAGCTCTGTAAATATAGTTTATTATATTTATTCTCTTTCCTGATCTCTTTCCTGCTCTGCTTACTGTTGGTGTTTCTTTACTTATTATAAGTGTTCCTCTGCTTGCTGTTGGTATTCCTCTGCTTGCTGTTAGTATTGCTCTGTTTTTAATAAAAAAGTTTTGTAATCTGGTAAGCTGGTGTTGGTTATCTTCTTAATATAGACTTACTAGATGCAGTGAATCCTTGAGATATACGGAGAGGAGTTGTAGTAATATAATAACTGATTAAGAGATCTGGTTAAATGTTTTTCTGTATAACTTGGGCCGCCAAAGAACCTTAGTCAGACCTAAGAAATCTCTGGAAAAAATGGAAACGCTATATAAGCAAGGCTGTATTAAAGAGAATCATTATAAATCCAGTACTGATCTATTATATGATGATACTTGCGGGTATTGAGAGATTTTTTTTCAGATATTGCTAATAGAGAAATAAAAAGATTAAAAAACTAATAACAAGCTTACAGAGTAGAGAGTGGTGCTAGGATTCCCTGGATCCACTTTTTTTTTTAGCTTTGATTGAATGGCTTAGAGGAAGTAGACATGATATAAAAAGCAGGCTGGGTCGTGTAGATAAGAAGCTTGGTGGATTATGGAAAAACTAATAATACTGCTCTAAAATAGTACAGGCCTTTCTGTGGTTCAGGAGAAAGAAGATAACCCTGCTTCTCTACTAATCCCAGTACCTCGAAGCTTTGTTCTAGTTTTATTATTTAAGGCATTTATATATTCCTGCCTAATGATAGCACGCTGGGAATCTCTGACCTGCTATAAGTAGTATTTACTGAGATGAATATTATGAGCGCTCCTAATTACACCTTGGTAAATCACTTTTCTGTACCCAGGTTATCTACCAGAATTTCTGAGTAAGGCAGACAGGTAAATTACATTAAAAATGCCAGCTATAAGAGTAATAGATATCTCTTGCTTAACTATAAATACATATCTCACTGTTTATCTATTTATAGATTAATTAACTGATTACTTAATTTATTAATAGTACTGATGATCAATGTTCTTTTTCTTTAAGTATTCTAATTATCTATCATCTTTAAGTGGTTAAAATATCTGAATTATCTGGTACCACTAAGGAAATTAATATCAGAAGTAGAAATTATTATTATATTAAATAAAAGAGAAATCTCTGATAATGTGGCCATGCAGGGTATTCAGTCTTTTCTATCAATAACTATATTTAAACTTAAGAGATTTTCGTGGAATATCTCAGGAGTATATATTATATATTGTTTTATATTTCTGTCTAGTATTTCTGATAACTTAATATAATATATAATGATTTTTGATGGATGATCAAGCCCCACATAACTATAGTACATGTGATTTAACTTAAAGGGCTTTTATCATTTTTATTTATATTTAGCTAATATTAGAGATATACTAAGAGAATTTAATCATGTGATATATCAAGTGTTGTATTACAGAATTGAAAAGTTAGTTAAATTAATTAATTATTAGTTTGTAAAGAGGTCTGACAGTAAAATAATATAGCTATCAAAGAACATGTTGAATGCCTCTTTCCCCGCCTTTTAGAGAGGGAAAGAAAAGGGGGAGAGAAAGATCTGAGATGAAAAAATAGAGAGAAAAAGTTATAATAATAGTAAATCAGGAAAATTCTTAATATTGTAATTAGTATAAAGATTTTCTTGATATTCATATACATGCCTTGCACAACTCTTCACTCATAGGAACTTCCAGATTAAAGCTTCTCTGAAACTAATTTTTCAAGAGAAAACAGGGGCTTTCTTGATGTCAACACGGCCTAGGACCGGTAGGTGGTAGACTCGGAGTCGTAAGTAGTCTGGACCTTGCCTGACCTAGTCTCGGGATGGTGTGACAGTAGAACATCAACAGAACATCAACAGAACATCAACAGAACATCAACAGAACATCAACAGAACATCAACAGAACATCAACAGAACATCAACAGAATATCAACAGAACATCAACAAGTCACAATATCGAAGAAAGCATTGTTAAGCTCCATCTGCTTTCCAAAGATGCAATCAATAGAGATACCAGACCTGATTATTTGCCGCGAGCATTCCCAAATACCAGATCCCAAGTAATACTGTTAGTCTCGGCTTTGAAGCAGTACCCTTCACTGTCCAAGAAATAGGTGTCAAGAGCTCCAAATTTCCATCCTTATCAAGCCTTCGGATAGCGACAAGTTCATGATCTGTTATAATAAAACTGTAGTATGCATGATGTAGCTTCATGTAGTAATTAAGTTAGGATAAGACCTGTTTGAATTTATCACATAAACTGGGATTTAGATGGTTCCTCAGGGCAAAAGACTATTTATACAAAGGTTTAGCATTATCTGGAATATGGTTCAGTCTGGTTCTAGGATCAAGATCTGGATCAAAGAAAGTAAAGTCAGGAATAAAGTTACTAGAAGTTACAGCTATCTGACTAATATCATATTTTATAATTATATGATTAGCCAGCTGTTGAGTAATTTATAAATATAAGAATCTGCAGCAAAGGACATATATAATCTGGTTGGTTAAATAAGTGTTAATACAGGATTAGACTACAGCTTCTGAGTTTATTGGCCGCGGAGGAAAAGGTTAAAATAGATTATTTAAAATTCCTGCAGCAGTTAAAAGAAGTCTAAATTATTATTAGATAGAGACTAGGTTGAATCCAGCCCAGTAGTTTATATTATTGATATTATCAGCCCTGTAACTATCATTTCATGTATTCTATAATAACTGTTTTTGTTTAATGATAGGCAGTAGAGAGGGACCATGTTGTAAGTATATTATAAGGCTAACTTAGATAGCTATAGTATATAAATAAGAATACTGTCAAAGATAATAACAGATAATTAATAAATAAAATAATAATAAGATTATCTTTTATATCTGAAATTAATACTTTTAAATCACAGATAATATTTTTTTCTTTATATACCAAACAGGATATCTTATTCTTAGCTGAAGGTATGATACATAGACCATAAGAAATTAATTTATAGTTATCTAATACAGATTTCTATTTGATAGACACAGAGAAACTACCCTAGATATTTTTCTATATATACTTTTGGCCCAAATAATAATTTAAGAGTACTTAGAAAAGCTAAAAAAAAATATATGACTTTAGTCTTGGACTGTAATAATTAAAGAATCAGATTTATTCTTTAATAATCCCTGTCAAGATAGACTACTCAGCAGTCTATCTTAACAGGGATTTTTTAGTAAAATATCTAATAGATTAGCTCAGATTCTGTATTTCTAATTTTTCTACTTATTAAATCCTACTTTCTGATCCTTCTACTATTTCTTATATTCTTATGGATGCTTATTATACATATATTATTCTAGTCACAGATGCAATATCTAGAGGGACTGGCTGAAAATTTTCTGCTAGAATAAGCTAGTATAAAGTATTAAAAAGAAGAGTTACATGTGTCGCAGGCAAAATTATAAGTTATAAAAGATTACTTGTATCTTAGATATTGAAGATAATAATAAAACTTAAACAGAGACAGATAAACATTCTTCTATTCTTAAACTATTTAAGTTGTAAAAATTAATTAGTATAACTTATATTTAATCCTTATCTTTAGTTTATTTTATAAATATTACATAGGTCTCATGTCTACTGAGATTAATATAAAATCTTTTGAAATAGAATTTCTTGAAATATTGAAGAAGAGCAAGTACTTAATGATTTTTAAAGTCTACTTCTGGGGAAGAATATGTGTGATGAAAATGGTTAATATAAATATTATCTTTAGATTATTAGCTTATTACTGATAAATGAAGTATTATAATAGAGAGTTCTCTAAGTTAGATTCCTGTGACTATGAGATTAATCTCTTTGTTTCTAAATTTACTATATATTATTGATTAAAATCTAAGAGCTTTTATAAGAGAGGTATTATCCCAGATTTTTATGGAATAATCAGAAAGATCCAACTAGCTGCTTAGCTAAATCTTGATATGTTTTTAAATAATATATTACTGTTTAATATTATATTTATTGAGTATATACTAGACCTAGAATAAATAGGTCTATCTAACTTCTTAAAAGAGTATCTGGCTAAATTTCATGAGATTCTTACTGATTTTTATAAGATAAAAGTTCTGTACAGTGATTCTAAGCCCTGTAATATAATAATATTCTCAGTATATAAAAAGATAGTCTGGATAGACTTTGATTCTATCTAAATTTTTTCTGAGGGTAGTGATTTTTCGCCAAGATAAGAAAAATAGATTGAAAAAGAGGTTAAAATAGTAGACTATTTTATTACTGTCCTAGTAAGTCTCAAGTATTCTAATTATAGCTTTTACTGATTATTAAATAAGTATAAGATTATGAAGACGGCAGGCTTAATTATATAATATTATATTATTTTAAATAATACATGTAGGAAGAAAAAGCCTGGCTGGATTATTATAGTCTATACTTAATATAAAAACTTGATACTTAAAATACTCAAGAAAATAAATTTAAGTTATCAGTTTCTAATACTATATTAGTATTCTTCTAGTAAAGCTAATCTTTAGTCTTATTATTATATTACTATTTATTAATATAATATCTCTTATGGTCTAAATATATTAGGAATATCTAAGACTCAGTACTAACAAGAGCTTTGACTGAACTACTTATATACTGAATAATAAAACCAGATTTCAGTATTACTTGGAGCGGACCAACATATGTTATTATAAGAGTTTTAAATAATTTACTAATATTATTTAATTAGAATTCCTATTTCTGTGCACAGCCTGCAGTAGATATAGATAAGAAAATATATTAGATAGTGTTCTGGTAACTAAAGACATTCAGAGTCTTGTAAGTAATCTCTCTTTACTATTATTATCCTTGTTACACAGCCAGACTGATTTAGAATAATCTCTGTTAAGATAGGCTACTAAACAGCCTATCTTAATAAGGATTTATTCTAACAGTAATTATTCTATTAATATAAGCCATCCATCCTGTAAATATTTTTTATTAAATTTCTTTTTTTTTATTATTATTACAGTATAAGGTCTTTATAAGAGATTTTAAAAATACTTTTAATATTATCTAATATACAGGAGATACAAAGAGATGATCTTCTATTATATCATAACAAGCTTACAGTAGTGCTTTATATATTATATTCTCTTTTACAGATACTATGCGTGTCAAGTTCAATATTTAATAGCTTTATATAATACTAAATTACTGTTAACAGGCTTTTAAAGCAGGTTATACTGTCTCCAGCCATACCAGTACCAGCCATGACAGTACTAGCAGTACTCTCTCCAGTAACTTCTTCTCTAGTACCAGCAGCACTATTTTCAAAAGCACTGTTTTCAGTAGTACTTTCTCTAGCAGCATCCTCTCTAGTAGTACTCTCTCCAGCAGTATCCTCTCCAGCAGCACCCTCTCCAGCAGTATCTTCTCCAGTAGCATCCTCTCCAGCAGCATCCTCTCCAGCAGCATTATCTTTAAAAGCACTGTTTTCAGTAGTATCTTCTCCAGCAGCATTCTCTCTAGCAGTATCCTTTCTAGCAGTACCCTCTCTAGTAGTATTCTCTCTAGTAGTATCTTTTCTAGTAGTATTCTCTCCAGCAGTATTATCTTCAAAAGCACTGTCTTCAGCAGCATATTCTCTAGTAGTATTCTCTCCAGCAGTATTCTTTCCAGTAGTATCTTCTCTAATAACATTATCTTTAAAAGCACTGTCTTCAGTAATATCTTCTTTAATAATATTCTCTCCAGCAGCACCCTCTCCAGCAGTATTATCTTTAAAAGTATTGTCTTCAGCAGTATCTTCTCCAGCAGTATTATCTTTAAAAGTATTATCTTTAGCAGTATCTTCTCTAGCAGTATTCTCTTTAGTAGTATTCTTTCTAGTAATATCCTCTCTAGCAGTATTCTCTTTAGTAGTATTCTCTCCAGCAGTATCCTCTCCAGCAGTATCTTTTCCAGTAGTATTCTCTTCAGCAGTATCCTCTCTAGCAGTATTATCTTTAAAAGTACTGTCTTTAGTAGTATTTTTTCCAGCAGTATTCTCTCTAGCAGCATCCTCTTCAGCAGTACCCTCTCTAGCTATAACAGTATTATCAGTACTGTCTTCAGTATTAATAGTACTGTTTTTAGCAGTAATATCTCCAGTAATATGTGTACTCTTAGATGATACTATATTAGATAATATATTATATCTGATAGAGAGATTAGAAAAATATAAAGATATGATTCTGTAATATATGCAGTGAATATTAAAGTCAGTTATTTAGAATTAAATGGACTGGTTAACTGAGAATTTATAGATTATTAATATCTTTTTTTTAAATATTCATGACAAATACTTTTCAGAAGTCAATATTTACTGTGGGATAAGTGTAATATCCTTAGCTGATGATTATATTAAATGAGAAATAAAATAAAAGCTATTTCTGAATAATAAATCAAGAATTAATCAGTTAAGTGAAAACACAGATAATAACAGAAAATCTTTTTATAAGTAATTTGTTGATGATAGTGACTTTAATGATTAAGATAAAGCTTAGATATATATAAAATATAGTATATAGCTTCATGTCTTCTCCAAAATCTATAGAAAATGTTCAGGAGTAGATACCCTATTGCTGGATATAGTCAAGATAGTATTATCTTGTTTTTAAGCCTTTATCCGTGTAAGGATCTGTAATATGCTAGTATTTACTTATTTACTTACTTATTTACTTGAATTATCTGAATAGAAGAAAGATGTCTACAATACTTATGAGTAGATAATATCTTGTTATTAATTTTATAATAGTATGATATCTACCATAATAAGTCTGTTAATATTTATTAACTATTTGTTTAATGAGGATTAAACACATAAGAAAATATTTGAGACTAGTTACTGAACCTGAGAAATGAGAAAAATAATAAAGAAAAAAACCAAGTACTTGAGAGAATATGCTAATAGATCTTATATAAGTAGATTTAGATTTTCAGTAGAATATGAACTTTATACTGCTTCAGAAAGCTAGTAATCTTGAATTTTCCCATGTAATTAGTCTGTAAGAAGATATATTATTCTCATGTAGTTAAGGAGTTAATTTTTTTAAATATCTGTATATACTTATTATACAAGATACAGGATTGTTATTATGGCAGAACTGTATTTTTTTCAGATATTTATATGTTGTTAATCTGTAAGAAATTTATAGAATCTATATAGGAGTTAATCCTGCTGACTGATTTTATTTTAATAGACTATTAGAAGATC